ATGAACGTCCAAACCTTTTTTTAAACGACCGTTCTTTAGCGATCGGCATTGAAAAAAGTGACTTATGACTATTTGTCACACTTGCAGCGTCCCTATGGTCGCGTGATCAAGATTCAGATGTTTGGCAGCTGGCTCGTATTTATGACGGTCGCAGTGTCCCGTGGTCATATGATCCCCTTGTGCAATCTTCTGACAAACAAAGTCAATGGGGAAGCCAGATTCACTTAACAACTATGCGACTGACTTAACCACTGCAGTGATTCACTTAACAACTCTGGCAAGAAAGGTCATTCAATGGGGCAAAACTCACTGAACTACTTGTTTTGACCAAGGATTCTTCCTGAGACCACGATTAAGCATACACTTAGTTAAAACAATTCTTGTTTTATTTCAGCGCTGGGAATTATTTTCATTCCCAGCTGGTAACGTGTCCCAAACATTCCTCGAGATAAGCACCCACCTTTCTTTCTTTTGAATTGCTGCCAACAACAAGTGCCAAATTAACCATAAAAAAACCAATCGAAGTACAAAGTCCACACACAGCTTCAAGGATTTATTCGAACAGAGTGAACGACTTTGCTTCCTGCAAAGATTTCGTCACCTTTGCCTGTCCTTTATCCCTTATGGGAGGGGCAATCACCTCCCAGCCTTACTCCCAAGTCACCCCTTTTGTCTCAGCTGTTCTTGCCTTCTAGCAGCTCTGTGCACACACGCACACTGGGAACAGGCTCCCCTTGTTCCTCTGCCTTGCTGCTGCCAGACGCCGGAGGCTCCAGAGGCAGCACTCCACTCCCAGATGGTCCTGGCCCCATCTCTGCATTGGACACAGGACCCTCGTCTGAGTCCTCCCCAGACTCCCTGAATGATCCCCGTTCTTCCCCACTGTCCGATTCGCTGCTGTCTGCCAGCGAACCACAACACTGGGAATTTAGGGCTCGACTGTGGTTGTAAGTCAAGGATCACCTGTACTGTACCTCTTACCTATTTATTAACTTTATCTGCTATCCATCTTGCTTTCAAGTGACTGCAGGCAGGTTACAACCCAATAAAAATGACAATGTATAACCCTTAAGGCATTAAATATTGAAATTAACAAAAATCAGCTGGGATAGGAATACGTACAGGAAGTCCTCAAGTCACAACAGTTCATTTAGTGGCCGTTTGAAATTACTCCGGCATTGAAAAAAGGGATTTTTTACCATTTTTCACAATTATGACTGTTGCAACATCCTCATGGCCACGTGATCAAAATTTGGCTGCTTGGCAACTAATTCATATTTATGACAGCTGCAGAGTCCTGCAGGTGTATGCGATCCCCTTTTGAGATCTTCTGATATAGCCGGATTCACTTAACAACCAGTGTCACTAATATAACAATTTGCAGCAATTCACTTAACAGACGTGGCAAGGAAAGTCGTAAAATGGGGAAAAGCTCACTTAACAACTTTCTCACTTAGCAGCATAAATTCTGGGCTGAATCGTGCTCATAAGTCAAGGACTACCTATATAGAATGGGGTAGTCTTCACATACAAAAAACCCCTCGTTTAGTGATGATTATGGCAAACTCTGTGGCTAAGTGATACAGTCATTAAGCAAAACATCGCATCACTGCCAGAGGTGACTTTACTTTTGCTTTGGTCATTAAGCAAAGCACTACAGTCATTAAGCAAACCTCACACGAGCACAACTTGTGACTTCCTGCCAACTTCCTCACTGACTTTGTGGGAAGCTAGTTGATGTGACAAACGGCCATCACAGGACCAAGGAATGCTTTAATAGCAATAAATGTGAGGATCGGCTGCTATTTCTTTTAAACACCGCTATAAATTTGAATGGTTGCTAAATGAGGCAGTTGGTAAGCAAGGACTACCTTGACTAAAAAGTAGCATTGCTCTATATGATTTGGGCTTTGCAGCTTGGCCTACCTCAAAGGGCTGGCCCTCACGGCCTCCATTTACTAGGAACAAGAGTAGAAAGACGGCCAGGGAATTCTGGGAAAATAAAATTGAACCAAAGCATCCCTATTGGAGAGCCAACTTGGTTTAATGGTTAAAGAACCAGGCTAGAAATCAGGAAACAGTGAGTTCTAGTCCTGCCTCAGCCATGAAAGCTGATTGGGTGACTTTGGGCCAATCACCAGG